TTTCATATCCGGTTGGCACTTCTTCCCCCATTCGGCGTTTTCTCTTTTCGCCCGCAGTACTTGACCCAGCTGGAGGTATGTGAAAACGAAATGGAGGTCTTGGATCTCAGTTCGCTGGCTCAACTGGAGACGCTCAAGTGCAGTCGGAACAAGCTGATGGAACTCATCATAAATGCCACCAATCTGCAGACACTTGTAGCCGACCATAATTGTAAGTGCAACGATGAGCGATTCGATGTTATGTGGTATCAATTTTGACTTGATATGCAAGCACCTCAATTCGATATGCTCGAAATGTAAACAACAGGCCAGTTTGAGCTCCCACTCACGTAATTTAAGTCGCTATATTGCTTCTTCCTCTCTTTTTTTAGAGAATATTCAAGAGAGAGATTTGTAGAAATACGATATATGTATGCAGTACCAGAAATTTACCATGGGCATATCGATTTGACAGAGTCGTGTTTTTTTCTGTGTGGTGCTTTTTTTATTTATTTATTGTTATTGTATGTTTATTTATTTATTTTCTGGTATAAAATTTAAAATATATTTATTATGTTTATAATATTTAAAAAAAGAAGAAATTAAAAGAAATTTTTCTGTTATTTTTATATATTTTGAAAATTCCAGACCTGCACAACATTTCCACAACGAACACCCATCCGGTTCCGCTCAAGCTGCAGTGCGTCGACATTTCGCACAACAACTTCAGCGAGCTGCCCAACTGGATCGGAGCATGTGCATCCTTGACAGTCCTGGAGGCTTCACACAACCGCCTAAGCAACGTGGCGGGAATGCTGCGCAACTACAGGATCAGTCAGTTGGTATCCTTGAACCTGGCATACAACGATCTAAAGCAGCTGGACCAGTTGCCCGAGGCCTTCGCCAGCCTCCGGAGTCTCCAGCTGCAAAGCAATGAGCTACCGAATCTGCCGGACAACTTCTTTGCCGTGACCTATGCCCGACTGGAAACCCTGAATGCCTCCTGTAACAAATTGGCCACCCTGCCGCGCTACGAGCAAAATAACCATGCTGCTCTGGTGAATCTCTCGCTGGCGGGGAATCAACTGAACGACAGTATCTTTGAGCCATTGCACAATGCCGCCAAATTGAGGGTCCTGCATCTGGCCTACAATCGCATTGGCGTCCTGCCCGCCGCCTGTGTGCGCAACTGGCCGGAGCTCGAGATCCTTGTCATGTCTGGAAATATGCTGCAGCAATTGCCCGAGGAAGTGGCCACTCTGGGGCAGCTTAGGGTACTCCGTTGCTGCAACAATCTGCTCCTCTGCACCCCGCAACTGGCCAAATTGGGCATGCTCAAGGTTCTAGATCTCTCGCACAATCATCTGGATCGAGTTAATCTACTGGCCTTGGTACCCTCGCGGAATCTTAAGTACCTGGACCTATCGGGGAATCTGCAGTTGCAGGTAAATCTTTGGGATTTATTTTAAAACAATAGAGAATGCTATTGAGTGCCTCGACTATCAAATACCCATTACTCAGCTAAATGAGTGTGTGAGAGATGGAGATATGCAAGCAGGAAAGCTTGAACTGGCACCATCTAGAGGAAGAATGCTTTATTTGCTAGTAACTTTTTAATGGGTGCCCGATTTAATGGTTAATCCTAACTTTTAGCTTTTAACTAGCTTTTATAGTATCCGAGATCTAAGCCTTCATACGGACGGACAGACAGACAGACGGACAGTCAGACAAACGGACAGTCAGACAGACGGACAGACAAACGGACAGACAGACGGACAGACAGAATGACAGACAGACGGAGAGACAGACAAACGGACAGACGGACAGACGGACAGGCCGACGGACAGACAGACGGACAGACAGACAAACGGGCAAACAGACGGTCAGACGGACGGACAGACGGACGGACGGACAGACAGGCGGACTGACAGACAGACAGACGGACATGGCTAGATCGACTCAAATATATTTGAAGAACTAGGAACATTATTGATAAACTAAAGCTATTCTCCTGCAGGTGGACGAGCAGCAGTTCAAGGTCTGCCAGACGCAAAGCCAGCGACACTGGAGCCTGATCGATGTGTCCGGCAACAACAGAGCCGCCCTGCCCACAACCACCTTCAGGCAGGTGAGTGCGCAACGGGGCCAGAACAAGACGACGGGACCCTGGACCATGGGTTTTGCGGAGACTCCGGGCTCTGGGGATTTACGCAAGCTTTCGGTCTGCCAGCTGCGAGCGGCCAACTACGGAGGATCCGATGAAGCCCTCTACGGGATGTTCGAGGCGTTGGAGGGACATGGCCGGGTGGCCCAGGAAATGGCTCATCTGGTGCCCGATCTGATGAAGCAGGAGCAGCTGGTCAAGGACTCGGCGGTCAGGGATTACATGAAGTTCACCCTGCTGGCGGCGCAGCAGCAATGTGGAAGTGTGCGAAGTGCCGCCCTGTTCCATCTCACCAGGACACGGGCTCCGTCGAAGGTGAGACCGCTGAAGAGCAAGCGCTATGTCCTGCGCATGGCCAGCACGGGACGCCTGGATGCCTACTTGATTCGCCGCACCTCTCAGTTGCGACTGACCGAATCGGAGGCCACGCATAAGGATCAGAGTCTATCCGTCGTAATGCCCGATCCAAATGTTCTAGAGGTGGGTTCCTAACTAATTACAAAGTAATGATTTTAATTAGACACAAAAAAAAGAATGTTCCCGTAAAATCGATATGGCCATGTAAATTTCCGCTCAAGCAAACCCATATCGTTTTTACATGAAATACCCTTTTCGACCAGGCCAAATTGATCTGGCCACATATCAAATTAAAATTGATCTTAAATAATGTAAAATCGATCTACGTTTCATATCGTTTTTTTGGGTGTATCATTTTCTGTATCGTTTTTTACATGAAATACCCTTTTCGACTAGGTCAAATTTACCTGACCACAGATCAAATTAAAATTGATCTTAAATAATGTAAAATCCATCTATGTTTCATATCGTTTTTTTGTGTATCCTTTTCTGTGTCGTTTTTTTCATGAAATACCCTTTTCGACCTAGTCAAATTTACCTGACATATCAAATTAAAATTGATCTTAAATAATGTAAAATCGATCTACGCTTCATATCGTTTTTTTGGGTGTATCCTTTCCTGTATCGTTTTTTACATGAAGAACCCTTTTCGACCAGGTCAAATTTACCTGACCACATTTCAAATTAAAATTGATCTTAAATAATGTAAAATCAATCTATGTTTCGTATCTTTTTTTTGGTGTTTCTTAGATGAAACACCCTTTTCAAGCAGGTCAAATGTACCTGACCACATATCAAATTAAAATTGATCTTAAATAATGTAAAATCGATCTACGTTTCATATCGTTTTTTTTTGGGTGTATTCTTTTCTGTATCGTTTCTTACATGAAGTACCCTTTTCGACCAGGTCAAATTTACCTGACCATATATTAAATTAAAATTGATATTAAATAATGTAAAATCGATCTACGTTTCATATTGATTTATTTTGGGTGTATCTATTTCCCGTTTTAGCTCACCCTCAGTAACGAAGACGAGTACCTGGTGGTGGGTAATGCTCAGCTCTGGTCAGTAATGGATATTGATCGCGCTGCCAGGGAGATCCGAAAGGAGGAGAATGCCCTGCTGGCGGCCAAGCGACTGGTGGATATTGCCCAGAGTTTTGGGGCAACGGAGAATCTCAGTGTGATTGTTGTGCGATTCCGGCATCTCGGCACCGACGTCGACCACCTCATCCGGGAGCTGAAGCAGAGTGTGCGGAAGAAGCCCCAGCCGGTTTCCCTGCCCTCGTCCAGTGGCTCCGTCTGCAAGCGCACCTGCTGCGATCGGAGCAACGCGTGTCGCCACCGGGCCATCGAACAGGAGCCGCTGGCAGGACGATCCTCGCCGAGTGGCCAGAGCGACCGCGATCTGCTGGCCAAGGACAAGGACGACGAGTTCGTCCTGGCCCATGCCCGCGTTCTGCAGGAGGAGCAACAGCTGGAGATGTTGGACGAAACGGAGTCGGTGCTCTCGGAGGAGCAGTTCAAGTGCTGGGAATACATGCTGGAGCAGAACACTCAGCTGTTGTTCGACAAGGAACTAAATACGATCTCCAAGTCGTTCACAAAACAGCGATCCGTTCCCAGTGCCATTATGGCACCTCCAGTGGTCCCGGATCGCAACGATTTCACCTCGAATCTGATGCGCAGTGTCACCAACAAGTTCATCTCGTCCAGCACCCCGCAGTTGCCTCAGCCAGTAACCAACTCTGTGCCCCTCGGATCATATCATCCGGTAAAGCAACCGGTTCCCGGACATTTCGGCAGTGCCCTGTCCTTTCAGCAGGCTCAAAGTTACGGCTACAATCTGTTCGATGCCAAGCCACGACCTAAGTTTTCCGGAAACAACGTGAAACGGTCCGGAGGACCAAATTCCGCCTACTTTGGATCCCTGCAGCGATTGATGCCCTACAACTTTGAGTACGACTTTGCCGTCACCCAGGAGCGGGAGAGGAACATCCTGGACGAGGAGGAACAGGACGATGATGACTTCAACGAGCACGAGAGTCGTATGCGCAAATACTGGGGGGTGGCTACCACGGAACTCTAGCCGAAGGACGATTTTTACCAGGGTGTTGACTATAAGTTCAAATGTAAAATTTACTCTCTGGAGTCTTTGGATCCCAAAAATTGTATTGTTTCTTAAAGTCAAAGTTTTTTTGAAATTTTAGAAAATATAATAAATATACCTGCATTATATGCATATGAACTTATTCAATAGTATTTTTAAATAATAGACCTTTTTAATTAGGTAATATTTACAAACTGATCTGTTTCATATTTTTCCCCCTGTTTTAAGCCTTATAACGGAAAAGCCGTTATGACCGCTAAAAACCCAGTATATATTCGATTTCCGACCTATCGATAATTTCTCACATGTTAAAAACCTATCGGCTTAGTGGTTTGCAGCACGTTTGTCCATTGTTTTTATTGCTTTTTATTTTGTAATTAAATAAATAATGGATCTGCCGCAACAGAGACCGCATCATGACATCGCAGCACTGTTCGCGGAGGCACAACCGGATTTTCTGCGAGTAAGCGCGCCAAGTAAGCTCACATTCGATTAAAGATTTCACCAAATACTAAAGTCGCACATTTATTTTGCAGTGGTGCGCTACAGTAAGCTGGAATTCCGGAGACTCGTTCGCCTAAATGGAGTACAACTCGCCTTCACGCCGATGATGATCTCGGACTCCATCAACAACAGCGAGAAGGCCCGCCAGAACGAGTTCTCCACGGGGGCCGATGACCAGCCGGTGATCGCCCAGTTCGCTGCGAAGGATCCCACGGAATTTGCGACCTCCGCCCAGCTGATTTATCCGTATGTGGACGGCATCGATTTGAATTGCGGATGCCCGCAGAGTTGGGCCATAACCAAGGGCTATGGATGCGGGTTGCTGCGCCAGCCGGAGCAGGTGCGCCAGGTGGTCCAGCAGGTGAGAAGCACCCTGCCCGCCGACTTCAGTGTCTCGGTGAAGATGCGTCTGCTGGGTGGAGATGAGTCCCTGCAGCGCACCATCGACCTGGCTCGCCAGTTGGAGCATGCAGGCGTCACCTTCCTCACGCTCCACGGCCGGACGCCAGCACAGAAGCACTCGAAGGACACCCTGGACATTCCAGCCATGTCCGAGGTACGCCAATCCCTGCAGATCCCGCTGATAGTCAACGGAAATGTGGAGAGCTACAGGGATGCCTGCGACCTGCATGAGCAGACGGGCGCCGCCGGTGTGATGGCTGCCCGTGGTCTGCTCGACAATCCGGCACTGTTCAATAGCTCCTATCCGGAGGGCAGGACGACGCCCTTGTCCTGTGTGCAACAGTGGCTGGACATAGCGGCTGCTGCCGGGGACAACCTGCTGTTTCAGTGCTTTCACCACCATCTAACCTTCATGTGGAGCGCTCAAATGAAGCGGGACCTTCGGGTACAGTTTAATAATTTGGCAACCAAAGAGCAGGTGGTGGACTTCCTCAGGGAACACTATAATCTGAACTACGGTGGGGATGATCCCACGCCTGCTGACTATACCGATTGCACGTACACCCACTTCACGCCGCCCAAACACGCACGGCACATAGCCGCCGAGTCGGATGAGCAAGCCTGGAGTGCGAAGAGCGATGGCAAGTTCTTCACGGAATTCCGGGCGCATCAGTTGACCGGAACTGGTGGCGAAGATTTGGAACTGGGCGGACTCTTTGGCGACGAGGAGTGAATGGTTGTTTGACTCTATTCTTAGCTGTGTAGGTATAAAGGTTGTACAAATAAAAAATATATTAAGATGTTTTCCCATTCTTAAGACATTCTTATTTTAATTTACACATAAGTTGGACAGGGACAATTACACTAGTCGGCATAATTATTTTGACAGATTTTCTTACCTTGTATTTTTTATGATTTTTTAAATGGAAATATCTCAGTAAAATTTTTTATGAAAAGGGGGAAAAAGCGGCTAAACTTGTAATTTTTAGCTATTTAAAAAAATAATACAAAATACAAGGAACGAAATTTTGAAATTTTTGGTTGTGGTTCCTATTAATTTTGCCTATGTAAAAACCTTGCATCAAAACATTTTTAAAGGTGCCAAATTGTTTATATTATATTATCATAAACATATGAGTATATTTAACTTTAAAATCTGTAAAAATAATTATGCCGAACTAGTGTACAGGGGGGTTCCCTAAACTTTTGAATTGCTGAATTGTTGAATTTTGGTCAGCTGGTAATCAGCTGTTCCATACAAAGCCAACTTTCAGAAATTTCAGCAATTCATCAGCCTCGGGGCTGTTGAAAATTTTGTTGAATTGCTGAAAAGCCAGAGTTGTCACCTTTTTTTAAAAGTCGTGGCAACTCTGTAACATTTTAGTATCACCAGTACGCATTATTTATTTTAAAATAAACTTTGAAAGCATATTTGTGGTTCTTTTTACCTTGGTAACACTTTTACACAGTAACTAGCAATAATAAATCAAATTTTACATGCTTTAAGTTCCGTGAAACTTTTCAACAAATAACAGCTGTTTAAAATTCAACAGGAACCATTTTGGGTCGTTCCCTTAAGGGGCTGTCCATATATTACGTAATCACGTTTTTGCTGATTTTTGACCCCCTCCCCCCTTGGTGATCAAACGTAATCTTTCAATAAATACCCCCCCCCCAATGATTACGTAATCCCAAGAATAAAATTTTTTTTGTTTTAATATGTGGATTCAAACAGAGATGCAACCCAATCTTTAATATTGTTTATAAATGGAGTTTGGTATGACACATTCGGTTCGTATGAGCTGAAATTATCTCCAACATACTCTTCGTCAAGCCATTCCAGGTCTTCGCATTCTTCGTGTGATTGAACCACTAAACTTTCTCGCCGCCCAGCCACTAAAAAAAATTTTTTCTCTGCTTTCCTATCTAAGTTTGCAGATATATTTAAAGAAAAAAAGTTTTTAAAAAAATTCTTTAAATAAAAAATACATATAAAATGATTACGTAATCATTGTGCAAGACCCCGCCCCTCCCCATGTAATCAAACATAATCATTTCAATGACCCCCTCCCCCCCCCTAGGTAATTACGTAATATATGGACAGCCCCTAATTGCTGAAATTTTTTGTTGAATTTTCAACAATTCAGCAATTCAACAGTTTAGGGAATCCCCCTTACATAATAATGTCAACTTTATTTGTGATACAATTTCCTTGAATTGGCCTAATTTCGAAACTTTCCATAAACTTATTATTTATAATTTTAAATAATCGCGGGTGAAATACAAAATACAGGGAAATCTATTATCGATAGTAGTTTGTATTCGATATGCCATCGATTCAAACGGTGCAAATTTCTCGAGGACTATCGAGTAATCGGCATCCTAAGATACAAATTGTACACAATTCAACCCCAAACAAGAACCTCCGTGAAAATGCGACGCCGTGAACTGCAGACCATCCAGCTGAAGCTGTCCGATCTCAAGGAGTACGAGCAGGCCAAGATGGAGCGCCTGAGGAGCCGCCAGCAGCTGCTGACCCCCCGGACGCCCACTCCCCCCTCCGACAGCGAAGTGCTGCCGGTGACCTCCAGTGGCGTACCAGCGGTTCTCCTGGCCAGCGGCAAGAAACAGGAAGACGACGCCGCCGTTGCCAAGTCAGAGCCCGCGAGTCAGAAGCCCAGCACATCCTCCAACTAGGACTAGGTAAGTTCACATACATTTATATTATCGTTTACATGGGATAATCGTCCGCCTGGCTGTCGTTGTTGTTCTGAAAGCGAACCGTCTCGAAGCCGTCGACCAGGATCTCTCGATCCTCGGCCTGCTGCCGGTCCCGCAGCCACTGCTCCCGCACGGGCACATAGCGGCGGAGACCGGGTATCTTCCTCCAGCAGCGTCGCTTGTAGAGGACCCAAACCAGCGATGCACTGCATCCGAAAAGGAAACAGATCAGGAATATGCTAATGCCGCGCACATGCGACGCTGTGACTGGCACCTCTGAAATCTCCGGAGCCAATTCCTTGGCCTCTCGGCTGTGGGCAAACTGCCGCTGCTCCTCCTCGCTGCAGCGGGTGATTTGGATGTAGGGCGTCATCACATCCCCGGCCAAAGAGTGGACCCTCACAGAGCACTCGGTGAAGGTGATATTCAGCCGCTTGACGTACACATAGCCGGCACTCTGGTGATCCTGCCTCGTCACACAGCCATAGTGCGTCTGGTTGAAGTGGTTGTGGTAATGGATCACATAGTTGGTCACCATCCCATTGGGCTGCTTGGGCTCCTCGAAGCGCACAATGTACCTTTGCGTCTCCGGTATGTGGCAGGCATGCAGCTGGGTGAGCAGATCAGCGCCCAGCGTGTAATTCGTGCGTCCGTACAGCGTTGTGGAGCTGCTGCATCCCAGTCTATTGCAGGCCTGCAGCTGCAGGGCATACATGCGATACCTGGGCAGCTGCTTAAGCTCGTACCTGGTGGTATTGCCCGGCAGTTCAAGCTGCGGCAAAGTGGCCTCTGTTAATGCCAATCGACGGCACTGACTGCGATCGTCCAGAGTGCAGCGATACTGCTCCCGCATGTCGGCTATAAACTGCGAGTCATCCAGCTGCTCCGCCTTGTGGGCACAGCAGTCCTCGTAGTCCTCGAACTCTATCCAGTTGGGCCCGTCCATGTCCTGCCACACAATCGATGGCTGGTGGCAGTAGTTCCGCTGCTCAATATACGCGTGGTCGTCCTCCAGTTCGTAGACCATCAGCAGAAAGCTGTCGTGGTCGTGACTGGCCATTCGCAGGGTCAGCGAACTGTCCGTCTTCTTGACCAGTTCCAGCAGCGGTGGCCTCGGAATATCCAGCTCCGTCTGCACGTAGATCAGCTCGCTGCGTGCCTCTTGCCCCAAATCCTCGCCGAAGGTTCGCAGCAAGCAGGCATATCTTGTGCCCGGCTGAAGATCATCCAGCTGGAACAGATAGTGAGTGCCATTCTCGACCAGATCGTCGGGGAAGAGCAGTTGTCGCTTCCAGTTGATGCGTGTGCATATCGGCGCCTCCAGTTCACTCTCCTCGTGATACTGTTTACCCGGCGGCAATGGTCGGTGGATGAGCTCGAGCCTCTGGCTGGTCTGAGACTTGAGCCAGCTCAGCTTAACAGTCCGATGAGTGCGTTTCTAGGCAGTTTCAGTGAAGTAAAATTATTTTATAAGCGGTTTCTAAATAGTAAATTCTGTAAATTACCTGCACAAACAACTGCAGCTTCGAGGGACTGCACTGCACCTCCTGATCGTTGGTCTGCAAAGAGTCCAGCGCTCTGTCGTGGGTCACAGAGTTCTGGAACTCGCGCATCCGATGGTTGCACAGCTTGTTGTTGCGATGCATGAACATGCCGCCCTCCAAGAGCTCCACCTGCCTGGCGGGCTTCCACAATTCGGACAGCTGCTTGTTGTCGTAGAGAATGAAGGAGTAGTGACGATGCTCTGGTGGATCACCATGAACGCGCTCTAGATTCCTGAGGAAATTTAAACTTCGCAGCTGGGAAGAGCTACATAAAAAAGGTTAAACGGTATTAGAAAATCATTGATTGGAATCAGGAAACCAAACCCACCGATAGACTTTCACGTGACCGCGAACCTCGCGGATGCTGGTGAAGCTCTGGAGCAGCTGCGTCTCGTTCACCTTGTTGCGAATGGTGATGACCAGGCTGCCGTTGAAGATCTGGCAGCCACGCAACTTCTCGGCATCGGCCAGGTTGTAGATGGTGAACGTATTGCCGGGCAGCTCCGGAGTGCAGCAGCTAATACAAGCCTCGTCGGCGGCACAGGGCACGCAAACGGATCTGTTGTCCGTCTTGTAGCCACTGGGACAGAAGGAAACGCACTGTGATCCGTATATGACATAGCCATGCTTGTTCACACACTCCTCCTGGGTGTAGCATCGCTGAAATTGCTCCATAACGTACCTTAAAATATATAATTATATATTATATAGACCTGGTTTCATCTAGAGATTACCACTCACTTGTCCTTCGGACAGCTCTTCACACAGACTCCGGCATCGCTGAGGCCACGGCAAACGGTGCAGTCAGCCGGGGATGTCGAGTTGTTCACACAGCCGCCCAAACAATCTTCATGGCAGGTGTTTATGTTGCTACAGTGGATACTGAATAATTAATTCTCTTGCAAGTAATATATTTCCCACTTACGCCTTGGGATTTGCCACGTTTTCGTTGAGCGATCGCTGGCAGTAGTGGTTCGACCAGCAGTGCGAGGAACTGCATCCCGTACACACTGGTGTGCTGCAGTTTTTACTGGCCAGCGTGACGTGGTTCTCGCCTCTGCTCAGGGTCAGCAGATCCCAATTGACCCGGTCAATGTTGCACAGCTTTGGACAGCTGCCGATGTAGACTTGACCGCGTTGTATGGCCACTAATTGTGGAAAAGCTAGCTAGAAATATTCGAGGTTTAGAATTTAGAATTTACTCCAGCATGGATTGCAATTAAATGTCCTGGTATAATAGTAATTTAAACTAGTTGATGGACCTCATAAGTATTATATTTACGTTTTTTTTGTTTGAAATATTTAAAATCTTTTTAATTTACTAAAAGTACAAGTCCCTTAAAATATATTTATAATTTTAAATGAACCTAGAAAGATATTTTATTCTATTTTTGAGGTTTTTTACAATCAGTCAAACAAAGGACCGTAAATACAGATTACTTATTTTGAGTATAAGTACAAAAGTAAAACTTAATGATTATTTGTGCTTTGTGGTTCTACATACAAGCACATATTTTAAATCCTTGTTCCGGTTATTACGACTGCAATCGCACTTTGTCAAAATAATATTGCTCACAAAATAATCATTATTTCTGAGCGACATTATTTTTCGCCTAAAAATTATTATTATTATTTTACGTTCCCTGAGTAAAAGATTCAATTCGAATTTAATAAATTAATAATTAATTTATTAAATACATTTCTTGTTCCTTAAATCTTATGATTTTTAACCCCTCACCTGTTCAAGGTCGTGCATATTGGTCACGCCCAGGGCGTAGTTGAGGAAAAGCCGGCGTCCCCGGATGACGGTCAGGTGCGGAAACATCTCCGTGATGTTGGTCAGGCCGCGCACCTCGGTGAAGATCATGAACTCGGTGATCTCGGTGAGGAGCGGGAAGGTGTAGTCCGAGAAGTTGCAGTGCTGGTCGCTGGTGATCAGCGTGATCATGACGTAGCCGGTGACCACGGTGCAGTTGTCCAGCAGATGCATCTGGCTGCAACCGTTTCGTATGTCGATGCTGGTGCATTCGTGCTCCGATTTTGATTCGGCGATGGGGATGTATAACGCTAGCAACATGAGGCTGGCGACCAGCAACATGTGGCTGGGCAACATGTTGCCAAAATGGAACTTGCAGAATTTGTTCAACTTTATTTTTCGTTTTTCCTCTTTAACTTCTCCTGCCGGCAGCGATGTCGCCCCAACATTTTGCGTGGCTTCTGCCGAACCTATGTTTTTTCGATCCAATCCGATCTGCTTACAGTTATAGGTAGCACTCCTAATTAGCGCACTGGCTCTCCGCCGGCCATCTGATTAGCCCCAATATTTATGACTCGAGCGCTTTTCGCGCCGCTTTTTGCAGCTTCTTGGAGCTCTCGCTATCGATAGCGAAAAATCACACACGAAGGGCTGCCTTTTGTTTTTAATTCTTTGCTAATTATTTTTCTTCACCGTCTTTAGCTGAAGCGTAAACAAACACTTTATCACACAAACGCATTACGCACATTAAAAACAATTTCTTCGATCGTATTTGTTTATTGTTTATTTTTTATTGGCATTAGGTTGGCCTCGTGGAGGGCAAACGTCTGCTCTTTTGTTTTCGTCTCTTTTGGCACATATTCACTTCGCGGGGGTTGCCATATATTTAGATCATCTTTCCTATAGGGAGAACGGCGATAGCATTATAATATCTTAGAAAAATCTCTGATTTCAAACGGCAGCGGGGGAGTTTGTTTGTAAGATATGAAATTTGTTTAAGGGTTTGGTAAAGTATCAGATGAAGGCGTGAAATAAGAATGCTTAAAACCGCAAGGATATGAGATAGGTGCAAATCATCTGTTATGAAAATTGGATACTAATTAGTATTAAAATATAAATATAAAATATAAATTATAATTTATTCATTACAAAAACAAAAAAATTTAATTAGTGCTAATTAAAACTAGGTCAAATTACAAAGGAAAAGACTGTAATATACTTTTTAGAAACTATGCAGTATAAAACCTGCTCGTTTTCTAATTCATTTTTGCGACATACGTAGATATTTATTATTCGGTTCAATTCAAATTATAAAATACATAAAAGCAGCATCTTTAAAATGTCTGCTAAACATATAATCTTTAAGATTTCGAATATTTTTATCTATTTCCTACAACGGTGACCCATTTTAGTATCTTTATTATTCTTGGGAATCATTCTTATTTTTAGAATTAATTATCATGCTCATTAACGTGATCTTTCTATGATACAAAATATTAAAAATTAAAAAATTATCTCTCTTTCTTTTTCCAGGGATCTATTAACACTTTGATCGTCACTACCTCAATGGATGAAGCACCTAAGTTTTACAAAGATCATAATTCACAATTTACACCGTCTAGTTTTATTCGAATCGACCGTGAAAGTTCACTACTATATGTATATTAAGTGTATTTAATTGGGCACCTTAATTAATTAGTGCCAAACAGCCAGACTGTTAAATATAAGAAAAAACTTAAAAAATACAAAAAAATATTTCAAGATTTCATTATTGGGCGATTCCAGCTGGCCACACACACGGGCGGTATGCAATTAAAATTTTTTGGACAATGTTCAAAGAATGTTTTCGCCCGGTGCAAATTCGAAATAAAGGAAGAGCGCGTCGACGATGTTCACCTCGCGACGATCGAATGCCGACTGACCGTCTGGGGACCTCGTCCGTCTGTGGAGAGCAAACAAATTGATTTTCCATTTAGTGTCTTCTGCCTCCAGCCTCCGACCCGGGGATCTCGCCGATCGCCAGATACACTGCCTTCGGCGGGGCCTGTGCCGCTGTCGACCGTAAATTGATTAACCGATCGTTTGATTTCTGCGGGAATGTGAACCAGTTAATTTGTCATCTGGCCGGCACGACTTATGCAATCGCAAGTAATAGAGAAATGTGAGAAATTCCATTTGCTTAGAGCTTTTCCCTCAGTGCAGCCATTCGATTTTTATGGCTCCAGTTATGGGACTTCGGCTCCTGCCAAACCACCAGCTGATCCCAGTGGCTCATAAAAACAGCTGACTCCAATTAGCCACATGGCACCGGTACCGGCATCGGCATCGGATTCTTCTGTGCACACGCACATGGAGAACTCGAAATCAAGTCAGGAGAATTCCCATGCAGACTCAGAAGCGATTAAGTTTAACGAGTCTGCAACGAGGAGTTTCGGAGAGCATAGAGTGCACACAGAAAATAAAATGGTCAATTGTATTTTTATTTGTAAATCGAAAAATACAGTTTTATTGTCGTGTTATAGATCAATAAACAAAAAAATAAAGAAAGGTTTTCTTAATAAAAATAATTTAAAAAGGATTCATTTGCTTTTTGAACCATATTATTTTTTTACTTTGAGTGCACTGGTTTTATGAGTTTGATCTGAAATAAAAAGAGTAATTGGGTTCCTTAAAAATTTTAGAATAATTGCTGAGATGTTTTTTTTTAAGTTTTAAAAATAAATGTACAATATCCCCAGTAAGGAAATTGTTAGTTTTTTAGCTTTGACAGACTCAACAAACAGTATTCTTATTGATTATTTTACACTTATTTATCAGCTCACCAACCAATTATTCAAAGACATAAGTTAGTTGTTTTAATTGTTATTTATTATGTTTAGGTTTATTTTCTAAAGCCTAGCGAAACATTTCTTTTGTATAAAGCAATAAGCTTGTGGGGTAGAGTAGGGGTCCAATAGTCTACTTATTTTTCTTACCGTCATCTTATTTGTATAAAAGATCATTTCATATTTTTCAAGCCCCTGCGAGTGGATCGTGTCAAAGTTCAATTAATCCAATTAGTTATTGAGTGCGTGTATGCTACGATCAACATATCAGATCAATGGAAAGCGCGACACAACGCAGTATTTCTTCATACGGATTTTGAATAATAGTCTGTTGTGTATATTTATTTAAATATATACATATTTTTGTAATTCAAGTTAAGGTTAATGGCTAAGCTATTAAGTCAGTGAGCCTACTCCGGCGGCGTGTTGTCGTGTATCCACTCGGAAAAGTGGGCCACAGAGGTGTAGACACTCGGGATTCGCAGTCCTCCGCAGTTATCCGAGCCAAAGGACATAATTCCAATCTGTGGAATGGAAAAATATTATAACAAATTTTATTATTATTATAAAAAATAATATAAATGGTGGTTACCTGTGAGAAGATGCCGTTCTCCTGTATAAAAAGCGGTGCTCCTCCGAATCCCTGGCAAACGTCCTTGCCCTCTCCGCCGGCGCACATCCATTGACCTTCGATGGAGTTCGGGGACTCCAGGGCGCCCGTTGACCCGTAGTTCCGAAGACACAGATCCCAGCTGGTCAGTGGTACGTCCAGGTGCGACATCTCCGGCTGCCGGACGCTCGACGTGGACATCTTGCCCCATCCGGCGATGGTAGCCCGCTTGCCCACCACCAGGTTGGCGCGTGTCTTCTGCAGACAGATGGGTTGTGTAGCCACTGGCGGTGCGAGAGTGGAAATGGGTGGGCCTCCATTAATCTTGTGTTCGACTTCTGATCGCTACCTGCCCAAAACTGCAACATTGTTGCCTGGCCCCAAAAGGTGCGTACCCTGATTTTCTGAGAGGGTTTTCCAAATTCAAGTTCAATTTTAAAAATAATCCTAAAGTTATTGTATTCTTTCGAAAATAAATATAAGAGCTCTCTAAAATCGATATATCTTTTAGTATCAGATGCAATAATATTATTGATCCAACGGTTTCTAATTAATTTCACGGACCTGTGGGAGGATTTCTTTGCATTTCTATAAAAACTTATCTAAAAAGAGCACCCTTTTTTTTAAAGAAAATAACACAGATTCCCCATTCATACACGCCCTTGCCTCACCCTTTGATTTATCTCGGGCCGCGGTATTTTATTGGGCATTATAAAGCAATAAGGATGAACGCAAACAAGTTGGGCAGCCACTTGGGTGACGCCCCCTTTCGGGTCGCAAATAATGTGCTGTTTACGAGCTGGCCAAATTGCAATTAACCAATCGATTGCCTCACCGATTCGACGATCGGTCGTCCGTTGCCTGGTAATGACCCTTATTTGATACGCTATGTGCGAGAGGTGATTCTGTAATAAGGCTTTACGCCCTAAAATTCAATTTCTGGCCTCAGTCTGGTGAATGGTCCAGCCAGATCACGTCCGAATTGATTTCAATCTTCGGAATCGGGAACTAACAATTTGCGAGTATCGTAAACAAAACTCAAGTTCTGAATGGATTGAAATGTTGAATGGACACATACTTGTTTTGCGAATAATGCGGATATGGAGTTTGATCCTAAAAGGGGATCTTTGAGTTGAAAAGTGCTCAATATACCGTGGCATATTATTATTCCAAAGTTCGTAGCCATTGAACTGAGGCCAAAAGCCAGAAATCAAAGCGGATCCATTGGTCAGGTCGCGATCAACTCATTAGTTGGTACAGTAAACACGCACCAAAGCCGCCCAATTAAGTGAGATGTGGGGATCCCAACCTCGAATTAGCGACATGCAGGGGAGTCGGTTTGACATTTGTGAACTTGGAGCGAGCGGAGTGGTTGGAAAGATGACAGAACAAAACGATTTTTAATTAACGGCGACACCGCCAAGCGTAACCACCCGATTGGACTATGAAACACGTACTATATATCGTGGTACCTCCCCGATCCCGCCCAGAACTCACCCGAATAGTTTAGCGGCGTTTTGAGCACCAGCAGAGCAATATCGTGGTGGTACTGGCCCTGCTTGTAGTCTGGATGCACGATCACATGGCTGATGGCGTGGTTGACGGACCGCGGGGCACAGAATCCGGTGTTGGCACAATCCGGATCGCTACTCGTATCGTACTCGCCAACGCGCACAGACGACCTGCAAAGTTAGGGAGGAGAAAGTCGATTAGATGTCCGATATGATTTCGATGCACTGCACCCAATGGCCCACTTACAGTCGGTGTCCGTCGGCCTTGGCCAGAGCGCAGTGGGCGGCGGTGAGGATGACCCGGCGGGCGATTACGGCTCCGGCACAGGGATAAGCAAAGGCACCCGTATTGACGTCTGAAAAATACAAGGTTAATAATAAGTTAAGTTAAAAAATCGCTAAAGAATAGTTAACTCTTGATATGAGTATAAAAACAAAAATTAATTTATTATTCAGTTTTGATTTGAAATATTGTCAAAACAACCTTATTTCATATCAATAAAAATATGATTAATGTCAAATTAATGATTCAAACGTATCAACTTAATATTTTACCATATCAGCTATTTTATAAAAATTATAAAAATACTATTTTAAAATACCAAATGTGGTATTTTTTAAACAAATAATGTAAAATAAGATGTATAATGAGATATTTATATCAAAATTATATGAAAAACTTGATCTTTAAATAATATAAAATTGATCTGCACATATCAATCTGATCTTTTGTCAATTGGTTTCCGGTATACTTTAAGTAAATTTATCAAAATAATAAAAAATCAAAACGATGCTTACGCTTAAATCCAATGCGTGCGACGAATGGATAGGAACCTAGTCCCTTGTAGAAGTGTCCCTGAACCAGGGACTTTCCGCAAACCTGGTTCTTCTCCAACGGACTGCTGGGGCAGCAGACGTAGGGCAGTTCGTCGCTGGCTCCGCCGCAGTAGAGCGACTTGTCGCCGTAGTAGCAACTCCGGGCCACCTCGTAGATCAGGGCGGTGCAGTCGTGTAGGGGAGTGCACTCCGTGCCCACGGAGCATCCCGATTGTCCGGCGGATTGACCCACGTCGTAGTAGGAACGGGCGGCGACCGAATGCCCGGCAGTCTCATTGCTTCGAATTCCACTTTTTTGATCCGGATTAGCATAGTTAACGGGTACCAAAAGTTTTTCTAGAATAAGTTTTGGTTAAGCTTTTTAATCCTTAAAACAATTTTTGAAAAGTGTCTTTAAGTTGCACTGGATCCTCATAATATCGGGACCATTTTTTTTATTAGTTGTATTAGGAAACTATAATTAATGTCTTTGATTTTATATGGTGTTTTATCCTTAAGAGTAAATTGCACCTATATCCTACCGAATTCTCCCGATTCCGTTTTAACAATTGCCAAAAGTTGAAAAATTAGGCAAAATATTGGAAACGCTTGCATTGTTTTAAACACTGGATCACTTTTTCCGATCTTCGCCTAACACTTGTTGCACTTCCTTACAGGTAAAAGGCACAGAACTTTCGGTTTCCGGTAATTCGAACCGTGCAGGTGAAGAAAACTTTGTCAACTAAACGAAACGATACCCAAACGAACTGGCCAAATGAAAATGAAAATATACCTTTCCACATAAGCAGATAAGTGTATCACACACACATTCAATTCTATATACTGCGATGTTACTGGTCAGGCGGGGTCTGCGGTTATTAACTGATTTTTATGACAGTTTGGTCTCGATTCGCGACCATTTCCAGGTTGTAATTTACCCATTTGCTGGGCAGATACACATTTCTATGGCATTTGATAGCAGAATATGCGGATCTGTCCGTCCAGTGCAAGCGATCTCATGAATCCGTCCGCAGTTGCATTATATGCTTTTTTCTGGCCATTACTGGTCATTTTGTTAAAAGCGGGCTAGTCTTAAACGACATTATAATGCGCTATAAATAATATAGTAATAATATATCTTTTTGTTTTCGTACTCGTTCTTTAACTTTAGGGCCGTTTTCTCGTACGCATTTTAAACTTAGATGAGGGATTAAACCTTGAAATCGTATGGGAAATCAGAGTTTTAACCCTACTTTAAATTTAACAGGCGGACGAGAAAACGGCCCTAAAATGTGTATAATTTATGAAATAGTGAAAAAATCCCGGAAAATCTGCAAGACTATCTAAAGCAAAAATTGCCCTATATTTAGTCTTTAATTATTTTAAGCAACTTAAAGAATATAATATTTCATTACAAATGTTTAATTATTTAATCTTAAAATCTAAATTTTGTAGGGAACACTGAACACCAGTTGGCCTATACTTTCTCCTGTTTGGTGATGTGTGTTATTATTTAAGTGAGATTAGCTTACGTTTCTCATATTCTATTTTTTTGTTTTGGGTAATAATAAAATATGTTGAATGAGATCATTTAGATTTGATAAGCTTGTCGCATTTCACTGGACAACCGGCCAGCTGGTTCCAGTTTTTTAGGCAGGAAAACAAGCGCGACAAACGCACATTAAATTGCTTAATATGTATGTTGGTACTACCACTGGCCCCCAAATTGTTTTGTAATTTTATGTTGAATTTTCTTTTTTTACTGTTTAACATTTAATGGTCGAATTTTACTTTCATTACGTTTAACACCACTTGGCTGACATCTAGCCAAAGACAAAAGTTTCACTTTTCATAATTTTTTTGGGATTGAGATTATAAAAGAATTGACTTAGTCCGTCCTGTTGGCGGATATTGCGATCTGGCCGGGATCACTGTCCAGGCTGGTATCGCTGGTGTCTTCGCCGGATGAGTTCGAATCCATGGAGAGCGAGACTGAGTGCTGTTCCTGCTGATACCCTTCAAAATAAGATTGGATCTCGGGGCTTTCCAGTTCTGGCAGCGGATAGTTAGGCAGCACCTGGCGGAATACATTGTAGCGATCCCGCAACTCAACATCTACATCCTCCGGCCGACGTTCCTGTTCCTGAAGGGACTGGAGCAATGAGAAGAGGAACACGCGGTTCGCGATGTGGCAATCTGGGAGTACAGAGCGCTCGTCCAGTTCGTTGAAACACATGGTGCTCAAATTGGCAATGGATCACCCCTCTTTTTGTTTGGGATTGTGGATTTTACAATTTTTTAGTAGTTACAAATTTTGAATGGGTCACCTCTCGCTCGAAATAATATGAATATCTGGTATAATTATTTTGAAAGTAAAAGCATGGGAAACCACTTTTTGTTATCGGTCAGGTGTAGAATGTAGAATATTTATTTTGATTTGTATCATTAGATTATTGGTTTTCTTAAGGGTTATCCCTCCTAATTTTAAGGTTTAGATACCTAAATACAATTAATTGTATTTACATACCTACTTTTTAGGTCATTTATTTTTTAAAAAGGTTGGCTAGAAAACAAAATTGCACTAATTAATTGGCATTTGTATTATGATCGTTTTACATCGCATATTGCATAATTTGCCTGCTAAACTGCTAACCCATTAAAGTGCCAACAAAAGAATATTTTTTAGTTTGAACGGAAGCAATCATATTCATATATAAGGTACACATATGTACAATAGACACCGAACATACATAAACATTAGTAGTGTGCAAAAAAAAAGCTTTGCTATCCGAATTACCGTTATATTGCCGTTTTGATGTGGCCATTAACGTGTTTAAACTGTCAGTAAATTGTTGAAATATTAATGACAATCTCACATAGGGAATTACCCTCCATACCGTATAATACATCTAAAAAATTTAATTGCTTGGGGTCATAAAAACAGCAGCGGGTTAGCTATTCTATATTATATATATATATAATGTAGAATTTCCTAAATGAAAAAATATTTAGTCTTATGACATAGAGCAATATTTATTAAAGAATTGAAATATATTTGGATTTAATTATTGTGTTTAATTTTAAGGCAATGCCAACCTTTTTATTGTTACTATTTTCCCGGCTTTTTTCCTTTGGGATTCTTGACGGGGGTGTAGGAGTAGTAACCCTGATAGGCCTGAATTGATGTCAGAAGCAGAGCGCCGATCAAGAAACCGAGGAGCTTCATCTTTTTAAATGTCATGCCATTTGAGAATCGAATACGCCTTTTATATCCATATTTTACGCAATTAAAGCATGTAATCAAATAAAAATGCTTTTAGCGTGGACTTGTTTTTGTAATGTGGGGCAACCCTTAACCCTTGTTAAACTGCTTTCCAAGAAACAGAAATAAGTTTAAAACACACACATATTAATTAATAATTTTCAAAATTAGTTTTACTAGGTAGAGGAAAGATGTGTTTCTACATTGGGGCATAAAATAAATAACTCAGTTTTCATATGAAATTGAAAGTAGAGCTTTAGTTAACAGCACTGCACTAAGCTTACAGTTGGTTGAAATTTCTTCGGTAAGCTTTTTGTTAACAGAGCTCAAATTTAACAGACCGTGATGTTTTTATTTATTAGGCATAAAACATTTTTATATAAGTTGTATTTTAAATAATTATTTAAATTATACTACTGCATTAGCTTCGTTATCCACTTACTGCTAAAATCACCGATCTGACACCGGCACAAGCTCTTTTGCTGTGATATTACCTCGGCAAACTGGGCGACAATGGGATCCCGACCACAGGAGGCCACTGAAGTCACCTTATCCCTATCGTCCACAAAGTAGGCCACAAACTGTAGTTGCTCGAGGCTTCCATCGATTATAACGTCCTTGTAGGAACCAAAGCCGGAAGAACGAAAGGCTTTGCCAAAGATTACGGTGTAGAAAAAGGGTACAGCTTCAAGTTTCGAAATGTAGCCACACATGTTCATCGCAGCAATGCGTCCGTGATATTGGGCCAACCCGTAGTGGCTTATATTTACTCGATCGGTGGTCCCACCCAAGATATATGCATTGGCTATATCACCACCCACATAAACATTCCGCACATTGGTCTGCAGAAAGTCGTTGACATCCACTGAGCCATTGGGGTTGATTCTGACACCAAAGTTTTGTAAAAAGTGCGTGTTGCATTGGCAGCCTGTTCCAAGGATCAGAAGATCGCATGGTAATCGCGATTTATCCAACAGCTCCACGGCAGTTACTTTACCAAGGTAGTTTCCCAAGATCTGGGTGATACCACTGCTCATGCGCAGCTTCACGTTATTTTCCTCTAGGAGGTGCAGTATCCGCTTCCCAATCAAGTCACCCAAAGTGTTTTTAAATGGTACATTTTGTCGGGCTATCAGTGTTACGCTTTGTGCTTTGGAAACCAGATTGGCGGCAGCCTCCACGGCCATAAAACTGGAACCCAAACACACCACTTGGGTGGTTTTCCCAACCATTTTGAGTATGCTCCTCGCATCGTCAATATCTCGAATAGTTCTTACGTTTTCCAAGTTAACGCCTGGTATGTCTGGTCTTATAGCTGAATACCCAGTAGCTATATAGATATTGTCATACTGCAACCTCCTTCCATTGCTGCAATGGAGGATGCTGCGAAATGTATCCAGCTTCTCAGCGGAAACTCCTAGAAACACCTCTATATCGTAGTCCCTGTAAAACTTTTCGTCCCGGAGATATAAGTCGCTTGTTTTCTTATTTAAGGAGTTCATGATTTCAATCCGATCGTAGGGCAGATGCTTTTCCCGACAGACAAGAATTAATCGTCCTGTGAAGCCCTCCTGCCGCAGGGTTTCCACACAAATGGCACCTGAAGGACCACCACCTACCACAACAAAGCATTACGCCTCACCATTTTCTTGGTCACCTGGGTTTTCCGTAAATCAGATCGCTTGATTCGCACTAGCACCTGTCCTCTGGAGTCAACATGAACTTGGTGACAGGGCAAAGAATCAAGACCTGGAAAATTCTCTATGTCACCAGTTTCCAGATTGAAGCAAGCTCCGTGCCAGGGGCATCGCACTCGATTCCTGGACAGGACACCTTTCGACAACGGAGCTCCTCGATGGGGACAATGGGCGCCAACAGCTCGCAGGATGTCATTTTGCTTGACCAAGAGGATACTGGTGCTACCGTTGAATTCCACCTGTCTCATCTCATTTTCCTGTAAATCGGATTTATGACACACTGCCAACGGATCGGTGTACTCACATTCTTTCGGATATGAAATCATTTTCAAATCTGAATTTTATGCACAAATTTAAATTAACTGACAGCCTTCTAATAAAATACAATAACATCATTATTTCATTTAAACTTGAACTACAAACAAAAAAAGAATACATTTACCACATAATATTTTCTTTAAATGCTATTCCATAGGAAACATGAACCTTAAACTCTTTTAGGCATTTGAAAAATTGGGAAGTCATTTAAAACTTTCTTTTAAAAGTCCCAAAAAATACAGAAAATTTACAAATAAATAACAACCCCCTGATAAGTAAATAAATAAAACTTTCTGGTTAACAATTTTTGTTGTCTTTTATTCTTATGTGTCAAATAGTAATTTATTTCATCGCATTCGTTTTTATCATTTTACGTAGTTGCTTTTTTACTGACATTTCTATTTGGTTGAAATATTTTTTGGTTTTTGTTTTTTTGTTAGATATAAATACGACATCACGTTTTCGTAATTGATATTTCTCCTATGCAATTTTGTTGTATTCCTATATAAAGCAATAAATAACTTGTTGATTTTTTTTTTTTTTTTTGGGGCCGGGCCTAACCAATGTTGTGCTCGCAAGACCCCGCATTTGTTTGACGCTATACAGACTTAATTAATTTAAAATTCAGTTTTAGTTTCCATTCACTATACACAAATATACAATATTTACATTAAAATATCAGGGTTACGAATGTAAATGATAGAGCGAAGTAATCGTTCAAGAACAGATGTAATCATAACGCTTAGTAACATTCAAGCCGTGTTTGGTGTATCTCAAGCTAAGCCCACCAATGGCAAACCGAATTGAAATCAAGGATTTTGAGCAAATTGTGTTGGTTTCTTTTTGTTTTTTTTTTTAGGTTTTTGGGGTGTTTGGTTTCTAAAAAATTAAGAAGGCTTGGTGCATAAACAATAGGGTGGTGATGTGGTTGTGAAAACCACACGACAGCGTTGCCATCTTTCTCAGGAGTTAAGCTTTTCCAATGTTGCTGCTTCTACTACTGTTGCTATTGATATTGATGTTGCCGCTGTTGTTGTGGCAACATCTACTGTTGCTGCTGCTGCTGCTGCTACTGTTGTGAGCTTTCAATATGGCGTCGCTGCTATAGTTGCGACGAATGTTGCTGATGTTGCTGCTGGGCAGCGGCCAACAGCAGGCTTCTCGATTGCATCTCAAAATAACGCAAAAGCAGATTTGAGTATCAGTAATGTACGCCGGGCGCTGACGGATTGGGGGCGGTACTGACGCTCACACTGCCACTCCCACCGCCGCTGCTGCTGTTGTTGTTGTTGTTGCTGCTGCTGTTGTTCGCATTATTGTTGTTGTTGTTGGCGCTGGTATTATTGGTGCTACCCGAATCGCCCAGCCAGGAGTCGGGACTGGGCGGAAAGTCGGGATATCCCTGATCGGGACTAGAATCGTTGCTCAAATCGGAGACATTGTTGCTACTGTGCAGGCGATGATGCGATTTGTTGGCATGCAAACTGGAACCCACCGCTTGATCTAAAAGCAATTAATACTCTTATAAGGACTGCTTATGTAAGAATGAAACCCAGTCTAAAACTCACCTATATTGGTGTACACAATATTATCCGGATAGGAGCCAAACGTGTGACCCTGGCCAACTGGCGGCGGCGAGCGACTGCTCGGCGGATATTGCGACGGACTCGAACTGCCGTGCATGTAGGACCCCCGGATGCTGTGCGGCGAGGCGCCCTCATCCAGGCCCAAATTGACGGTGCTGTAGCTGTCGTTGCTCAGATCTGCAAAGTATAGAATGGTATTTTGTAATAATCTTTTGTTTTGTATTTAAATTAAATAAAATATGATGAGAATATTGTTTACATGGTTAAATGCTAATTCATTTTTTTTTATCCGACCCTATATTCTTGAGTCGATCTAGCCATGTACGTCAGTCTGTCAGTATGAACGCTGAAGCCAGAAGGTTCAAATTTTCCATGCAGATTCTAGGAGTTCCTTTTGCTTTTCTCAAGTATGTTTCCTCACAAAACCACGCCCACTATAACGCCCAACATCGCACTTTACGATCCTAAATGTGTCTAGCGGCCACATGTATCAAATGCGATTTGGTTTTGTTTATCGACATGTATATTATTTAATTTCGGAATTTATAAGGAAATTATGATTCAAATTATGATTCAATGCGCCGTTATGTCATGCTCTTTGCATATCTATATCTTACTTGTCCTTCCTTTAGCTGATTAACGGGTAAGTGATAGTCGAAGCACTTGTCTATAGTGTTCTCTCTTGTTTTCTGATATTAGATTAATTTGCTTTTTTATACTCTTGGAGTCTATTTAAGATGGAGTTTTGATGTAGAAATGACAAAAAGAAAATGGTTAAAAATACAAAGAAGTTTAAGTATTTAAAAATAAGTTTTCTGAAATATATATATTATTTATAAATACTTTAATTACTTAATTTTTAATTTTTTTCCTAAAATCAATTGCCAACTTTCTAAATTGGGTTCGTGTTAATTATTTTTCTGCCAAAAGGGGCAAGCTAAGCTTTTGCTATGGCTCTGTATTTATAGAATTATTTTACAATTTGTCTCTAAAGAATATTATGACAGTCCGATAAATGACGATTTGATTGATTGACCAATTCTCACAGATTATTTCTCTATTTCCCTTGAAAATATGAATGTCTTCGGGCGCTTTCCTTCTAATCAAAATAAGCTCAAGCACTCACCATGGTGACTGAAGCTGTCGTAGTCGACCTTCAGCTCATCCTTGTCGAGGAATTTGTCGGTGCGCGGCGAGCAGTTGCCCTTCATCGAGCGGAAGTATTGGCTCCAGCGCGTGCGACCCGCGTCCTTTTTCAGTCGTTTCTCCTTGGCCCGCCTGTCGAAGGATGCGTAAGCGTTAGTAAGTATATAGCAGAATGAGACCACCCAGAAGGACGCACCTGTTCTGGAACCAGACCTGCACCACCCGCATGTCCAGGCCCGTGTCCTGCGAAAGTTGCTCACGTACATGGCGGGCGGGCTTGGGGCTGTTGTTGTAGGCGGTTTTCAGGGTCTCCAGCTGCTTGGCGGTGATCGTGGTGCGCGGTCTCTTGTTCGGCTGATCGCCATCCAAGGAGCCATCCAAGTAGAGGCCTGGAATGGGGGTTACATTTAAATTTAAAATATATTTCTTGGTGTTCGCCAGTTTCCTCAGTTTCAGATCACCCACCCTTGGCCTTGGCTTCCTCGTAGTCACGCTTGCAGATCAGCTTGCGATCCTCCATCAGGTAGAACTCGTCGCCCGTGTTCAGGGTGCGGGAGCACATGGCGCACAGGAAGCACTGCAGATGGTAGACGTTATCCTGGGCCCGTCGCACCACCTGCGTGGGCGGTATGCCCATATCACAAGCGGAACACTTTGTACCGTAACGTCTGTTCGACCCGAACATTGGCAAATGCGACATGGAAGGAGATTTTTCATTAAACCAACTTGGCCTCTGGCAATCCCGAATTGCATCCTTGGCATTTGAGAAATTTACTTACTTGAAGAAGTCCTCCTTGCAGAATAGCTGGCCATTCCTCGCGAAGCACTTGTCGTTCAGCTGACTGTGGCACTCGCTGCATTGCAGGCACTTGGCGTGCCACGTCCTTTCCAGCACTTTAAGGATGAAGCGGTCCAGGATCAGCTCGTGGCAGCCACCGCACTTCGGGATTGTAGCTATAAGAAAGCCGAAAAATATTCAGTTAATTGCTATCGATCTTACATAGGCGCTTTTATATTTGATTTTAGAGTATGAAACTTTGGTTTTTCTTTACCCATTCCGAACCAAGATCTTTCTCTTTTTTGCTTTGCTTAGCTAAATATTTTTCTCTATGAACAGAATCAAATCAAGACAATATTTAATTGAGCTATTTGTTCCTAAATTGAATTTGCTTTTGTCGTCTATTTAAAAAGTCACTATATAGAAACAATAACATCTGTTTTGAAAATACAACGTTTTCGGACCTTTAACTGTTTAGAAAAGATAAAGTGCTTTCTTCCTGGAAATTTGCGATGGAGATTTACAATTAACATTGGTTAATGGAAGTACCACAAATATTTACATAATTAAATAAAATATTTATTCGGGGACGCAGTAAGCAGAAACCGATTCAACCGTTTTGCATCTGAACAATGCAGACTGAAAGGAAATCCCCAAAGCAAAATATTATTTAAGAGTAAAAACAGTTAATACTGATTAAAGGAAATATAAAAAATATTTAATAGTTAACCAAATTCTATTTGCAATATGCAGAAGCCGATACAACAGTTTTGTTATTGTACAATGCTGACTAAAAGAAAAGCCCTATATTCTATACTAATTTGGGTCGATAGAAATTTTATTCTTTGATTTGTTCTTATACATTCGAAGCAAAAAACAAATAGTGATAAAAGCAAACTTGAAATGGTATATCAAGTAATTGTAAACTAATTTAAAATGAGTTTCCTTAATGCTTACAAATTAAATAGAAACAAGTTCTTAATCATTAATCGATTGTTATTAATTTAAAGATATCTTATTAAAAACGAAATTGAAATTTAAAATTTGTTTAAAAACATTCATTCATTCTTGCCATTTAAGTACATTTTTAATTTTTTTCTTGTTGCCAAGTCTAAAGCCCCGCAAAGTCTCAAGTTTTCCAGCCCCTATGACCTACTCAGAAGACAAAACGGAGGTCATAACCCTTTTGGAAATTGGGACTTACATAGTAAGAACTCTGGCAATTGACTCAAGTTAATCGGCGGTACGCGATCATCACATTTGCCGTTGGACAGAAAGTCACTTTTGAACATCATTAGCTTCAAAAGTTCCATACTGTTGGCGGTTGAAATCCCGACGCTTCTTGTTATTGGTTTTATTCTTTATGAGAACTAATCAACCATCACCTTCACTATTTCACATTGTGGTTTTTGTTGATTTAATCCACATTTTGCTTGCTTTGAAGCTATGGGTTAATTGTTCGTCGCAATACTCGATTTTTTATTTATTTTTATATTATTTTTGGTTTGGTTTGTTGTCTACCGTTATCACAGAATTTTAGCTGCACGAATGACCGGGGAAAAAACCGAGCGGCAACTTCGAGGCTTGGAAAGCAACTGACGACTAACGGCACACCGAGCAGTTGCTTATTGGGGAAGGGGGTGGTCTGGAATGCACACGCACACATATACACAGACAGGGGCTGACATAATCACAGCTGGAATGGGAAACCCAACCCTTAGCACTTCCAATTGGAAAGCTGATTCAGCTGCACCCTGTGCCAAATGTTTGTTGTTGTTCCGGCTGTGCCAGTTTGCCAGACTGGCCTTTTTCGCTATTTCTTTTTTTTTTGGATTTTGCCCTCAACAATTGAGTTTGGGTTGGTCGCCAAAAAAACAGAAAAACAAAAAGCGGGGAAATTGCATTGTAACACTTTGCCACATTCCATTTTCCACTGACATGCGTGCGTGTGTGTGTGTGCGCGCGGGGGAGGGGGTTTTCTTTTGGCTTTTTTGTGTGTTTGTGCCTGGGATTGGTTGTTTTGTGTGCGTCGACGTCGCCTGCAGTTTTCGGGGAGTGGTCTCTCGAAAAGCTCTTTTCAACTCGGCTTTTTTGCCCACCAGCCCTCTCTTTCTGGCATTCAGTCCATCTCTCTTACACTCTACTGCTCCCTCTCTTTCTCTCTTGCTTGTTTTGCTGGCAAATTCGGCTGGAAAACACACTGGGTTTACTAAAAATACACATAAATATGCTTGTATTGCTCTGCACTGCAGTTTGGCCGATTCTTCTTCTTCCGTGCCATATCCTGCCAGCATGCGTGTGTGTGTGTGCGCACTTGGCTGCCATTGCTTATTGTTGTGTCATTGTTTCGTAACTGTGAAAATGACCTTAAAGCCGTTAAATAGCTGACTGACTGACTCCGACCGACCGGCTGATCGAGAGCAACGTCTGCGCACCTGCCACCCAGGAACCCCTGACCCCTCAACACCCCACACAGAGAAATTTAAATATTAAATAATTAATAAATAATAATATCAAAATTTTACCTAAGTAAGTATAATGGTTTATTTTCAGTTTTGATTCTATGAACCAAAGAGTTCTGCTTTGTGTTCAGTTGCTTTTTTTTATTATTTAGTATTAGTCTTAAAATAATTTGTGGGAGTATTTCAAAATATATTCGTATATATTGGACAATTGATTCAGTGTTAATGTAATCTTATTTGCCGTGCCTTATGAGACTTTATCGTTTAAGAATTTCATTTAAGAAATTATAACATCTTAACGGAATTAATTGTATGAATACATTAATTAAAATTCAAAAGTTATATAAAATGCGGTATAATGTATTATAATGACTTCAAAAAATATCAATGATGTACAAATATTTCTATAATTAATATCCCTAGAATACTAATAAATTATTTTAGACTAAATAAAATTAAATTATTTAAATACATTCTATAGATACTCTTGCTTGGAATATTTTTGTAGAAAATAGAGTCCCAACCATATTCTTTTGATATATGTTATCTATTTCGATTACACATTTTTCTCAGTGCATTTAAGCACACTCGAACACTCTCGACCATCCGTCAGTCAGTCAGTTAGTCGGATGGTGAGACGAGACGAACGCCCATGAGCTGCCAAGTGGTCGGCGCTCTCGGTCTCATTGGTCTCGGCCATTTTCCAAGAGCCAAAATGTGCGTAGCCAAAGGAACCGACACCTACACACTCGCTTTCAAACGAGAAATCCCACACACTCGCATTTGGCATTCGGACTTTGGGACGTTTTAAAGGCTCTTCTTTGTAATTTGACTTGACAGTCTGGCTGAAATATTTTTCGTTATTTTTTTCGGTTTTAAGTTCTTTATGGCTTTTCTGATTTAATTCATCTTGTCGTGATACACTGGACAATGAAAACGTTTTTAAAGAATGCTAAAAATGTAATTTTGTTCTATTAAATCTTTCCCCAACTTTTATCCTTTATTGAAATATTATGTAATTTTCGTAAAACTAATATTGTTAGGATGTAATATTTTAAGACTGTTTTTACATTAAATAATAATTATATTTAAGTTGGGATCTATGTACAACAGTTATTTAAGACATTGATTATATTTATTTTGATTACTAATTTGAATGATTTTTTTCGTCTAAATCGTTGAAAACATTAAAAGCAAGTGTTATTTTTGACGTTTAAAACTAAAAGTAACAGTTGTCTTTTTAAATAGTCTCAAATAACTGTTAAATTATTTTATTAAAATCGAAGGAAGCAACTTTTTGTATTGAAAAGTGTCCTTAACTTTGTGGAAACCAAGCCTGATTGCAGCTTTAACATTTGTAGTCTACTTCTTGGGGATTTCTCGAATCTTATTGAAATCAGCACAAGAATTGAAGTATACAATTGTGTTCTTCAAATGGAGGAAAACCGATACAAATTCATAGCCGACAGCGACGCTGTCAGGACACGACAACAGGATTCACAACAAAAAGAGAGCGAAAAGAAAAGGGAATTTTTTGAATGGCTGCCATGGGTAAAATGGCGGCATCGCAATCGAAATTGAGCGATACGCAGGCAGGCAAACAGGCACATATATATATTTATACATGTCGCTAAGCGTTATCTGGGCAGCAGGACAGCAGGTTTTTCGGAGTCCTGAGGGGAGCTTATATGTGCTAGCAACGGGCAAAAGGCCGACAAAGCTGGGATTACGTCTCTCCGAGCCCGAAAAGCAGCTCCTTTCCGCATATCGCACTCCCCCAAAATCCCCAGGTATTTAGTACACAGAGACAGGATTTTCAAAAATTCATATAGTCAAAAAACCTGGCATGTTCATGTTCCTACTTCTCAAGCTAACCACACGCAACTTTACGACTCGCTTCCTTTTTGACCAAGCTTGTTGCTTAATTGCAGCGGACGAAAGACAAAATGTTCACTAACTCTAGGGCGGTGGGTGATGGAGTGGGTGCAGGGATACACCCACCCACCAGTCACATCGACAACAACAAGCTGGGGGTTGTGGACGCGCCCTGAAAATGGTTGGCCTGCAGCTAAAAGAGCGCTGAAAAGAATCAGCACCACCTCACAGAAACAAAGTAACAATTAAGAAAATAATCTGCAAGCAATCAGTAGGTTTTTTGAATAGAAAACGAATTACAAAAAGAAGGTAAAATAGTCGGTAATTTAAAATAATGTTTATTGTTTCAAATTCTTAAATCTTAAATTCTTAGATCCTTAAATAAAATGTTTGTTATTAAAAAGAACGTGAAATTGTTCATTTTTACATTTTAACAATGAGGGAATTAATTTTTGGCGAGCTTTGTAAACTAATATTACTTTAAATACATTAAATTAAATATTTGTAGTTATTTAAAAATGGCAATGAAGTGGACCTAATGGATATGGCGGAATGTCAAATGTTTATTTCTTGGTAAAAATGTCTTATTTATTGTCTTTTAAAGTGCTTTGCTAGCAGCACAACAAAATTTGATTGAACATCACGATGGCGTCACCCCTTAACGATTTTTCAGCTGACTTGAATACATTATTCTTTTTAAAGTGTACCCTTGGCTATATCCTGCTCACCATATTTCGATCCACGCTCCTGGCTTTCGCAGTTGCCGTTGCAACGCGTGGTTTAAAAGTCCCTAGGCGACTTTAGGCTGTCGTGTTGCCTCAACGTTAAAACTTAAAAGC